TTTACCACCGCTACTTTAGAACTCTTATTTCATATCCTAACATTGGCAATGGAAAAACTTCCACCTCATCAATGTTTTTTTTTTTTCTTTGAGACGGAGTCTCGCTCTGTCGCTTGGGCTAGAGTGCCGTGGAGTCATTGTAGCTCACGGCAACCTCAAACTCCTGGACTCGAGTGATCCTCCTGCCTCAGCCTCCTGAGTAGCTGGGACTACAGGCACACGCCACCACGCCCAGCAAACTTTAGTTTTTTGTAGAGATGAGTTCTCATCATGTTACTCAGGCTGGTCTAGATCTCCTGGCCTCAAGCAATCCTGCCCCCTCAGCCTCCCAAAGTACTGGGACTACAGGCATGAGCCAGCGAGCCCAGCTCAATGTTAAATATGGATCATGTGCCGGGCACAGTGCTAGAGCCTATGGCATAAAAAGGCATAGTTCCCACCCGCTAAGAAGTCCCTGTCTAGATGAGCAGAAAACGAGGTGGGGTGTGTGTGACAGGAAGACACACACCGCGTCTTCAGACAAAGCGCACGGAGGAGACACGGCAGGGAGCGCAGGGACAGCTCTGGCTGCCCTGTGGCCCCCAGGGCAGGGCAGGGCATGTCCTTAGCTGTCCCCGTGGGGTGCCTGGACCACACCTCCCTCTGTGCTGCAGATGAAAATGCCATCTAAGAAGTTTGCACACATCCCTGTCTACACGCTGGGCTTTGAGAGTCCTCGGACGACATCGACCGCCAAAACCACGCCAGCCCAGAGAAGAGACGTGTTCCAGTGCGTGCTCTGCCTTGTTGCGGTGTTGCTGGGTGGTCAGGCGTTAACGTAACTTGGGAGCTGGGGTGCAGGGGGGCTGGCTTTGTTTGCCGGGACACCCCCAGGAAAAAGGGGATCGGAGGCAGCTGTTTGAGACGCAGGTCACCGTGGAGGGTTCTGGGAGGCTGAGCAGGGTGAGGTGGAATTTGGACGTGGTGGTCAGGGAAGACTGCCGGGACGCACTTTGCCAGCCGTGCTCGCTGCAGAAACCCGCGAGGATGCCTGTGGCAGAGGGAGGGTGACGGACAGGGAGGCGTGGGGCTGGCTGTGGGCGTGGAGGACTGGGTGGATTTGGGGTTCCAGAGGGGCAGGGGTAGGGGGGATCTTGCACCCTGGCGAGTTCTTCTCCCGATGGTCCTCCCCTCCATCCCAGGTCCCTGCAGGGGCCGCAGTGGCGAAGCGTGGAGGAGGAGTTCCCCCACATCTACACGCACGGCTGTGTCCTGAGGGACGTCTGCAGCGACTGCACCAGCTTTGTGGCCGACGTGGTGTGCTCCAGCCGCAAGAGCGTGGACGTCCTCAACACTACACCGCGACGCGGCCGCCAGACCCAGTCCCTCTACATCCCTAACACCAGGACTCTTGACTTCAAGTGAAGGCCCGCGGTGGCCAGGCCCCAGGGAGGAGCCAGGCTGAGACGCTGGGGCCCTGCTGCCGCCGCCCTCCTAAGCTGTGCATGTACATATATACATATATAGATACATTTATATAATGCACACAGCTTATATATTTATATACATTGTTTCCGGCCCCAGAGTTCACCCGTTCAGGCTCACTGCAGGACCCTCCTTCCGGAAGGCCATTTCCTCTCAGGACTCCTGGGCGGGGGGCAGGGGAGGGAGCAGGAATGGTTTTTCCTACAGAGTGGGGAGAACAGAAGGTTCTGGATCCTGGGTCTCCTGGCACGGACTCCCCTCCCGCGTTCCAGCTCTCTTCTCCATCGCAGGAATGAAAACATGGCAGCTTCCCCTCCCTGGGTTGACGTCTCGGTGGTGACAGCACCTTGCGCCCAGGTGGACCAGGCTCCCTGATACCCCTGCCCTCCCTTTGGCCAACCAGGCAGCAGAGGCACCTGGGAAGACCCTGAGTGGGCAGGATTCTCTGGAGGCATCCTCTGCTTCCATCTGGAAGGCTTGGGGTCCACACCCCAGCCACCCTGCAGCTCTGGGCCCTCCCACACCTGGTGCTGGCCTTCTCGTGAGTCACTGCCCCAGGCGTCCCTGGTGACACTGGGTGGTCCCATACAGGGAGGAGCAGCTCCTTGAATCTGTACACATGGCCACTCTTGGCCTAATAAAGGTCGTCTCCGTCTTCTGTCTGGGTGTGCACTGAGTCGTCACCCAGCTATGGCAGTAGGCACGCTGGCCCAGGGCTGAAGGTGGGCTCTGAGGAGCCACCTGCCCCTGAGGACCAGGAACGGCCTGCTCAGCTCAGCACAGTTGGGGGCCCAAGCCCACTCCCAGCCACTCCCCCCGCTGGCTCCCTACCAACTCAATGGGCCTGGCCGTCTTGGGCTGCATGTGACACAGCTTGGGCCACACCTGCTGGCCTAGGGGACCCTTTGGTCTCGTTCCCAGATCCCTATTCTGTTCTCCAGGGAGGTGACTCACCTGGGTTCACAGGGGTGAGAGGTGCAATCTCAGCACCTCAGGCCTGTGCTCACCACTCTGCCTGCTCACAAGCATCAGGAGGTGGGTGCTGTCATCATCCTGCCTTAAGATGAGGAAGCTGACGCTCGACAAGGTGAAAGACTTTGACCAAAGACACACAGCTCACCCAGGAACACCTGGGACCTCAATGCAGGCCTTTTCATTCCAGGCTCCAACACCTGCCACGGGGCCCTGCAGGGACAGGACTTGTAACAGATGGGCCTACTGGAGAGAACTATCAGCTGGGGGCCAGGAAATCCACATACACAAAATTAGAGCAGCCAATAAAAACAGCCACCTCCCAGCACTTGTCTGAGCACTTTACAGACTCCCTGTCTGTGTATTTTTATTTCTTTTTAAAAATAAAACAGGCACAGAGAGGGTCAGGTATTGCCTCTGGTCACACAGCCAGCAATAAGAAAGCTAACGTTTGTGCAGCATTCTCTTGGGCAGACGCTCCTGGGAGGTAAGTACTATCGTCATTACTCTGATTCTACACTTGATGCTGGTGCTCCCAGTCATGGGGAGACTGGGTTCTAACCACATGGAAACAAAGAGCAAGCACATCCCGGGAACAGGTGGCCTGAGCTCAGAGGGACAGTGTCTCTGGGACTGCCCAACCCTGGGCAGAGGTGCTTCCTGAGTCTGGCTGCAGCAAAGTCAAGAGGGAGAGCTGCTGGCATTTGTCCCTCCCTGGTGCTGCGCTCAGGGCTGCTGGACCTACCTCTCTCCCCAACCCCAGGTATGGAGGGCCGTGCAATCAGCCCACTAAACCAAGCCCTGCCTCAGCTACTTTAGATCTTCATGAGTGGAGATCACTTACTCTAAAATGTTCCTTGCTGAGGAACAGGCCTTCAGCGGTACGGGGAGAAACTCCTGTTCCGAGTTGCCTGTTCAGGGAAGATATTCAGGATGGGTCTGCTGTATCCCTCACGGTGTACACGACCTCTGTCTCGTAGAGGCAGTTGCAAGCTGAGATCCCCTCAAGTTTCCATGCACAGGCCAGGCAAGAGGTCTGCATAAATTGGTCATACCACTTGACCAAGGGTGACAGAAAAACCACTAGGCTGGACCTGAACAGTCAGACACAAGGGTGGTGTCCTGAGCATACTCTTTAGTTGCTGGATTGGGGGAGGGACCGAGGGAACTGTGTGGGAGAGGCTGGGGCAGATGAAGGGCTTGAGGGAGCTGCCATGTGCCAGCCACTGGGAAGTGTTCCTAGACCCTAGTGACTGGTACAGCACAGCGGACAGACCAGCCATGCCCAGAGTCAAGTAACAGTCGGATTCAGACTCCTGGGGGAGGCAGGATGGGTGTGGAAGCTCAGGGACCAGCGCAGGCCGGCAGCAGAGATGGAGGGTGATGTGATCCCAGAGGCCACGACCCACCCTTCTCTGTCCTTGCAGCAGTCTTCCTCCTTGGACTCTGTACGCATAGACCCAAATGCAAACCAGGTTCTCTCTGGGTCGGCTGCTTTTTCTGAGTCCCCTATAAAAGGGCAGGATGAGGTAAGAACTTAGTACAGGACCTGGCCTGGCCCCAACGTGGGGACCACCCCCCCACTCAAGGCTGCCCTCTCCTCTCTGCTGTCACGTGAGGAGGGCACCTTGCCCAACGCCAGTTCATCTTGATCTTGCACTTGGACCCCTGCCGGTTCTCAATCCTGGCTGAAGAGCTTTTAAAAAACATCCTTGCTGGACCCCACCTCGGAATCTCTGGGGGCGGGCCTTGTACCTTTACTGTAAAAATCGCCCTAGGACGTGGATGGCCAGCAAGGGTGGAGGGCTTTGACCTTAGGCTGCTGATTCCAGTGCCCAGACTACCACGAAGGCAAACTCCCAGGACACGGCCCGAAGGTCCGCTTGGGGGGCCCCGGGGGAGGAGGGTGTCCAGGAATCCCACCCTGGGACTCCTCGGTTTGGACGTGCTCGCGTCCTACAGCTCGCCTGCCGCAGAGGCGGAGGTACCGAGCCGGGCCCCGCACGCCGGCGCCGCAGGGATGCAGAGCGCTCCGCCCCCGCCGCAGCTCGTCCCCCGCGCGTCCCTCCCACGCGCGCTCCGCCCCCGCCCGCCTTCCGTTCCGCTCCCGGTGAAGACCCGGAGAAGCGCCACACACTGGTGCTGGCAGGGCCCGCCGCACAGAGACGCCCAACTCTCGCGAGAACTCGTCCGGACGCGCCCGAACCTTCTTTGACGCCGTGGATGACCAGAGGAAGTTCCGGAGAGCCGCAGCGCGCAGGCGCGAAACGCCAGCCTCGCGCCAGCGCGCCGTAAGTGCGCAGGCGCGCCCGCCGCTCTCTTTTCTGCTCTTCCTTCTCCCTCTTTCCAGACGTCAGCGGCCGTTGGGTCCTATGTCGCGCCGGGCCCTCCGGAGGCTGAGGGGGGAACAGCGCGGCCAGGAGCCCCTCGGGCCCGGCGCTCTGCAGTTTGACCTCCGTGATGACGATGACGCGGAAGAAGAAGGGCCAAAACGGGGGTCTGGTGGCGGACGCCCCGGGTGCGCAGGAAAGGAGGGCGTCCGCGTCAACAACCGGTTCGAACTGGTGAGGAACCGGGGGCCGCGGGTTGGAGGGGGGTGCGAGGTGGGTCTGCGCGGGGTGGGCCGTGACGTCATGGGCTGGCGGGGGGCGAGAGTCGAGTCTGGACTCCGGCGGAGTGGGCGGGGCCTGATGTCAGATGGGGCGGGGCGACGCGGGTCTGGGCTGCAGCGGGAGGGGCGGGGCGACGGAAATGGGCGGGGCCCAGTAAGGCTTGGATGTGGGGAGGGCGGGGCCCAGTGATGGGCGGGGCTGATTTGGGGCGGGGCTCTGGCAGAGTGGGCGGGTCCCCACGTCTCTGGGTCCGGAGGGGTCTTCCTTTGGTTCTAAGCTGGAGCATCTTGTAAGACAGGCACTTGCGGGTCCTCAGCACCCATGCTAGTTTGATCCTCCAGCATCCCTGCTTAGCCTAGGACCGCGCCTTGCTCCTCACAGCACCCACTGCAGGTGTCTGCACGGAGAATAACGCAGTAAATGCCATTCTGGGTCCTGTGATGTTTTCTCCTTGTCACTGTCCTTAGTCTGCAACTTTTCACCTGTGTGAATTATCTGATTCTGGTTTCTCCGACCTCCCCGTGCGAGCAGGTGACACATCTGTTCTGCTCACCTTGTATCCCAGCACAGCGTGATGAGTCGGGCCAAAGGGATTCCTGCTCGGGCCCTGCTGCCTGCACGCGCCCTCCTGATTTCTGATGGGATGTTCATCTCCCCCACTCAGACCTCGTCCCTCTCTCCCCTTTGCTGTCTCCCAGACATCTCAAACTCCATGTGTCCCGACGCTAGCTAACCTTACTGTCTCTGTTGGGAGCCTCTGCATCGTTCCTGTGGCCAGGGCCAGCCGCCTGGAGGGCATCCTGGTCTCTCGCACACCCCGCGTGCAGAGCAGACCGTAGGGAAGCCCTGCAGTGGCGCTCCAGGTACATGGGGAGTGTGACTGTCCCTCACACTCCGCCTCTGCTCTCGTTCCCACACAGTCTGTTCCGAACACACGTTGATCGCAGCCTCCCTTCCCCAGCTTGCCCAGTCTGCCCGGCAGCCCTCCCGTCCCGTCCTTCCTGACCTTGCTCGCGCTGCTCCAGCCGCACTGACCGGCCTGTGCCCCCTCTGCCTGGGTGCCCTTTGTTCAGGTGCCACCTCACAGCCCTGCCTTCCCTGTCCACCTGATGTAAATCAAAGTCACCTCGACCCTCCATCTCCTTTATTCTGGTCTTTTTTCCTGGTAATTAGCACCAAACATACTGTGTGAACTACGTATTTATTCTTTTCACTTTGTATTGCTTCTCTCCCACTGCTGGAACGCGAGCTTCATGAAAACAGGCACCTTACTGTTCACCGATGTGGCCCCACCAGCCAGAGCAGTGTCTGGCACCCGCACTTCTACACCCAGTGACTTCCTGGGTCCGTGCTGCCTTCAGGGAGACCACCGGTTACTACCTGTGGTCAGAGTGTGTGTCTGTGGACTGTGGAGTCAGAAAGACCTAGGTTTGAATCCCAGCGCTCCCTCTTCGTAGTTGCGAGAACTTGGATAAGATCTGCAAGATAAGCTTTGGTTTCCGTATTTCTGGGGGAGGTTATTACTTGCGGGGTTGTCGTGATGCTACTGATGTGTGTAATGTTTAGCACAGACTAGGCACATAGTTAGCACTCAACAAATGTTGATATTATATAATGTTGAAAAAAAGTGAAGGGAACAAAAGAACTTCACTAGGAACAAGCCCCCAAAGTGGTTCGGGGTCCGAGGTGCTCTCCTGGGAGGGCCGCGGAGCACAGACTGGCTGCTGCCGTCATCTTGAGCTACTTCATAGCCGAGACTGTCGTTCTTGTTGCTGGACTTCGGGGGAGTTTCTTTGGCTTTAGATTAGAACCATGTTTCCCATTTCAGTCAGAGTGCGTTTTAGTAATCAACTTTATTGAAATATAATTTATACATAATGAAATACACCCTTTTCAAGTGTATGGTTTGAGTTTGGACAAGTGTATACAGCAATGTAACTACCCCCCGAGTGGTAAAGGTTTTCCATCCCTGTTTCTACTCTGCGACTCAGTCCTGGGCAGCCACTGAGCCACTGGTCTGCTTTTTATCCCTGTATATTAGTTGTGCCTGTTCTAGAATTTCATACACATGGAATCACACAAGAATGTGCTCCTTTGTGTCTGGCCTCTTGCTAGTGTATGCTTTTGATACTTACTCGTGGTATAGGTGTTCGTGGCTTGTTCCTTTTCATTGCTGAGTAGTAGTATATCGTATGGACATACCGCAGTTTTTCTGTCTGTTCACGTTTAGGTGGATATCTGGGTTGTTTTCCAGTTTGGAGCTATTATGAACAAAGCTATGTGACCATTTGTCTGCAAGTCTTTTGTGGACATGTGTTTTCATTTCGCTTGGTTGAATACCTAGGAGTAGAACTGCTGGATCATAGAGCAGGTATATTTTAACTTGATAAGAGATTGCCGGACAGTTCGAGGTGGTTGTAGCATTTTGCGCCCCATCAGCAGTGTGTGAGTGTTCAGTTGCTCTGGGTCCTTGCCATTAGTTGGGGGTGTCAGTTTTTTTACAGTCATTCTTTAGATGTGTAGAGGCAAATGGTTTTAATTTGCATTTCCGTGAAGAAGTTGAACATCTTTTCATGTACTTATTAGCCATTTGTTTATCTTTTGTGAAGTCTCTGTTCACATTTTTTTGCCCGTTTTCTGTGGGATTGTTTGTCTTTTCTTTTTTTTTTTTAAGAGCCAGGGATCTCTCTATGATACCCAGGCTAGTCTC